TCCCATGGGACTGATGAAAGACTGACGCAAAGTACCTATTTAATAGGTTGGCTTTTTCGTGGGCGTCAGTTGTCAGTTGCCCCATCTGGCTCAGCAGGGGTCCAATGTTGCCCCTGCTTTTCCTCCGGCTCCCCACATATCTGAAAAAGGACTTTTTATTGTCCTTGATGCTCAAAGCTAGCTGGAGTTCAGTTGCAGCCTTGGCTTTCCTGGTCTGCTCCCTACAGGACCGGACCAGTGCAGAATAATCCTCCTTGGAGGTGACTCCCATCCTCCATCCTTTGTAGGCCTCTCTTTTTAGCCTCAGGAGGTCTGCTAGGTCCCTGGAGAGCCAGGGGGGTGCTGTGCCCTCTTGCTGCCTTTCCTCCGAGATGGAATAGACTTAGTTTGAAATGAGATGAAAAATTAAACTGTGGAGTGTATATGCACAGCATAACACTGTAGCACTGGATAGAATACAAAGGAATTTGGTAAGTTCAGAATCTGGGGGCATGGAAGGGAACCTGAAACTGAAGAAGAGAATTGGTGATGTCCTGGAGTAAGAGTTTCTTGAGGAAAGGTCAGGTGGATTTCCCTGTCTTCCATGGATGTGATTTCCTCATATGATGCTAATGTCAAATCACCCAACCCTAAAAAAAGGTTACTTTGATCCCTGCTGCTCATAAAAATGCACCTGAAGAGGCAAAGCCTTTACTGCTGAAATGTTCCATTTTGCAGATGTTATCAGAAGTTTCCAAATACATTTCCTCAGTGGAGGAACCTGCCCCTGCAGTTCATTTCCCACTACCATTCCCAGATACCATATATCATACTGGTAATATTATTCTGTTCCTGAAAAATATGCTGGGTTATGCAGTCACCTGAGGCTGAAGGTGGCACCATGATCTTAGAAGAGGAAAAAAATGCAAAGGACTCTAAGCTAGCCTTGCAGCAAACGGGTTCTTAGCAGAAGACAGAACAGTCTTAGTTCTGCTTTACTGTCAATAGCTTCAAGAGGTTGTTACAACCATCAGGGGTAATGTGACCTCAGTCAAACCTCCATCAACTATAATAAATGATTGGCATGGGAAATAAGTTAACACTTCTGAAAATTTTCCTATCAAGGTTGTGACAGATTTTGAACAGCTTTATGCTAGTGCACAGGTGCCCCAGCATCCAGCTCAGAAAGTAGATTAATATGTTAACTTGCCAAGGACTTCTGCTTCCTTTATAGTTTTTCCTAAAATGGGGAGAAAAAAACATGGGTATATTTTTAGTTGTGCATTGTTTTCATCTGTGAAAATGTTCATCCATTGCACATAAAGGGGAAATATTTGCTGGAGCTTCTTAGTTACATATTAGCAACATCCCACCAATAAAACTATGAAAGAAAAGAAAGACTTACAACACATCAAAGGGGCCCAGTTCCTAAAACAAAGTGCTCCTTTCTTAATATATTTAATGTACTGTATTTGCCTCTCTTCCTTCCAAAATAGAAATGCCAGCTTTAAAGAAATGATCCCCAAATAAGTACAAGGAATTATTATAGTACAAAGCTACATTACCTTAATATTTTACATCATACACTACTTATAAGACTGCACAAGGCACAGTTTTTATCTTTTAATCATCAGCAAAACAAAATATTTTTATTTCCGAGGCAGGTATCCCAATCAGATGTTGGGTATGTTGAATTAACACTTTGAGATCTTTTTCATTTAGCGATAATAAGCTCCATCCTCATTTATGCCACATTTACAGTTGCACCAGCTTTAAAATCCCCTTCCACTACCAGAATGGATTAATGGAACCTTAAGCCAGGGCCCTCGATTTTATGAAACAGCAGATTACTTGGCTAGGCATAGATTTATAGAAATACATTTTAGGGAATAGATCCCCTGCTGGTAAATATTGTTATTGTTCCATTTACTCCACTCCACATAGCTTTACATCAGCTGAAGACCAAGCCCTGGTTTTCTTTATTCTGTAGACTAAAGGTTGATAAGCTTTTGAAAATGTTATAATATAGAGAACTGTACTGGGCACACATGGGCAGATTTTGAGTGGACTAGAAGAATGAAAACATCTTTGATCACAAATAAATGGGTGTTGGGTACGTATCAATACAAACAACCCTCACTGACAACTATGCACATCTTGATCAACCCCTCCATTGTCTTGGAGGTCCTTTATCGTTTTATCTGGGGCACAATATGATTATACATTATTAACATAAACTAAATACAATGAAAAGCTTCAGATAGCCAATATCAACATATTTTTTTTACTGTTGGGTTTGATTTTCATCGTATTCTTTGAGGGTGAAATTCCAGCATGTTCAGAGGACCAGCACATCAATCCCAGTTAGCATCCACAGATGAGGATGGCATCCTACTGTTATGTAGGATTCATGTGGGTGCATAGGCCTTGGACTGGTGGTAAATTCATCTTGGCAGTCCCTACTTTCTTGGTGCTGCCAACGAAAAGAATTGTTTTTGTCTTCTAATGGAAATTAAAAATGTCTGTACTAATAAAACCAGCGGTAATAGGTTAAAATCTAAGGCAAAAATAAGAGCTTGTTTCTGCTCTTGTGTATCTGGTGTGTTTTGGGCAGTCAGTGGAATTATTCTGGATTCACCATGTTATGATAGCCTGAGAGTGATGTTGTAACTGTGTGATGGTCCAAGAATATGTGAGAGGCAAGGATTTTTTGGGTGGTATCTTTCAATAGCTTACCTAATTTTGTCCCAACTATACAGTTGGTCCAATAAAGGTGCCACCCAAAATATTTCTTGCCTGTGGATCTATCAGAATTATTAGATTTTGCCCAACAGAAGCAGATTTTGGCTCCTAATCTTCTCTATTCCTAAGTGATTAGTACTCAAATTATCTCTTTAAACAATGCAAATTATTGTTACCATTTACTTCTTTACAGGTTTAAAGAGCCATTCTCAGTCTAGTTTTTCTGACAGGGTTTTATTTAACAAAACTCAAAAGCTAGATAAAGAACAAAAACAGAAACAAAAACCCCAATAAAAAAGCCCTCTTCAAATGAGAATGACCTAATTTTATGCCATTTTCACTTCTTTAGTGACAGCCTTATTCAACCCATATTGTTTCCAGTGGATTTATATATAGTCACACTGTTGAGAAATATTCCTTTTTAATAAATACAATAGATAATTTTGAGTGCAGAAGTGCATATCTGCACAAAGAAACAGAAAAAAAGACAGTTGATAAACAGCCTAAGTAGAAACAGGTCCAAGTCTCTCTTATAATGTGATACAAATGTAATTGCTGTGACCATTAAAGCAACTAAAAAGCAAAAAAATCACAGCATGTAATTTCAAAGTGACAACAATTAAATTTCCTTGAAAAAAGAAAAGCATCACCCTTTTTGTTGCAGGATTGTGCTTTGTCCTTGAACCCACTTTACTCATGATCATACTGCCAAAAGTCTGGGACTAGTGGGGTTTATATTTTTTCATCATCATCAACATTATTTATTTTTTTAAATGCAACTGGGCTTGCTTGCTTCAAGGAGGTTTTTGAAACATCTGTGTGCATGGTAGACATAGCTATAGTCTCATAATCCTCATCCCTGGAGCGGAAATCACAAAAATGAAAGAAAAACTGTAAGTCTCTCTGGAAGTTCTTGTTGAGAAACCCATAAAAAATAGGGTTTACACAGGTTGAGATCATGGCTGTGAGATGGCAGATCAAGAATAACAAATTGTGGCTGCAGGTAGCAACAGGTAGAATTTCATGATTCCAGTCAAACACAATATTGAAGATGGTAAGGGGCAACCAACAGACAGCAAATGCAACCACAATAGAGATCAGCATGATGTTGATCCTTTTCGTTTCAGTAGACCTGTACTTATTGTCTCTCATCTTGTCCATCATGTTGTTCCTTCTTTTCAAGCGTATGTATATCTGCAGGAAACAAAAGTCAACAACAACAAGGAAAAAAATTGTAGAATCATTTAGCCTAATGACACCTCTAGGGACAAACAGAAATCAAACAGACAGCACAAAACAAAATCTCTCTTACCTTTAAGTAGCAAATAAATATAAAACAAAGTGGTCCAAAGTACTGTATCACCAAAAGGGATGTGGTATAAGAAAGCCTGACAGAGTCGAAAGGGAACAAGTCTAAACATACATATTTGTCCTTATATTCATCGATTGTTATGTTTCTAAAGGGTTCATCAGTTAATACATGATACATCATGAAAGGCAACGAGGAAGCCATAGCTACAATCCAGATGGCAGCAATTCCTATGTAGGCATGTCTATTGTTTGGCCTCCACCCTCTGGGGTTGATGATCAGCTGATGGCGTTCAATAGCAATCAGGACCAAAGAGAAAACTGAAACTGTGATTGAGGCACACTGCACAAAAGGATTTAGCTTGCACATGGCCTCTCCAAAAATCCAGTGGTCCATTAAAGTGTATACAAAAGTGAAGGGAAGACACATGATGGTTACTAAAAGATCTGAGAAGGAAAGGTTGACAATAAGGATGTTAGTAACATTGCGCATTTCCTTTTGTTTTAAGATGATGATAATCAAGGCCAGATTCCCAGAGACTCCCAGAATGATCACAGCTCCATAAGCCAGGGCCAAGGTGAAGACCATGGCCAAAGGTACATGGCAATCTTCATCTTCAAAGTGTAGGATTCTGGAGTTCTGAGAAAAATTCAAGTAGATAGAATGATTCACAAAAGAGGAAAGAAGGGATGTATTCATGTTGTTTAGAGTTTGGGTTCAGGCTTTGTAATAATCTCTATTGCAGTTTGTCTCTCCCAAATAATTTCAAAAGTTCAGAATATTCTTATTTCCAACAGGGTAGGTGCTCAACACAAGTTGCAACTGGATTTTCATTTCCTTGATAGTGCTGTATAATCTGCAATGGTAAAGGAACATATATGTTTATTTTGTATAAGAACATATATGTTTATTTCTTATTTTCAAGATAGGGGTATTTATGGTACCAACCCTATAGATGCTGGTACCTGAAGCCCTTGAGGCATTAAAAACATATTAGCATTCTAAATTATAGAATGATTCTGTAATTGGCCAGAATGAGAGTTGCTGTTCTGACCTTCTGAGGATTTATTTTGACAGAGAAGAAAAAAGAGAGACTATACACCGGTATATACGCGTATGAGTACTGTATATATGCACCAGAGTATATACTGGCTATCAGAACATACTAGATAACACTGCTAAAGCAACTAACCATGCTAGGAATCTGTTAAAGTACTTTTAAACAATAGAACATTCTTTCAGAGTAAAAGTCATGGGCTCACAATGGGAAACCTATTTATAGATAAGTGATTATAATATGGTCATGAAACAGTCATAATATGTGGAGAACAAAAAGTTATGCATTTCTGAACATGGTTCCCCTGATTTACCTGTGGTAGGTTAGGTCTATGTTGGGTCAGGATTTATGGTAGTCTCATGTAGAATTTAGATTATGTATGGTTTGTATGGGATGGTTTAGATAGGGATGATCCCTGCCTCAGGTTGGACTAGGTGACCTCTGGAAGTCACTTCCAGCCCTACTTCTGTATGCTTCTGTGAGTTAGTCTCTGAGGTGCTACCCTGCCTTCTGCCTGGTGATGGGGAGGGAGAGAATGATTCTGCATTATGCAATACAAAATATCTTTCATCACTTGTTCAGAATCCTTGACACAGACCTTGGAGTAGCAGGCAATAAATAAGACCCTAGAACAGTGGATCCCAAACTGTGGTATGGGTATTACGAGTGGTACACAGACAACCTGTCAGTGGTACTCATTAACAGATTTTTTTTTAATTACTTTATATGACAAACTTTGCTGGTAGTACTTATGGCTGAACTGAAACATTTGCTGGTGGTACTTAAGGTTGTATCATTTTAAATTGGTGATGCATGATCTGTCAGAGTTTGGCAACCGCTGCCCTAGAAGTAAAATAACTTTTTATACACAAGTGTATGGCAAGCCAGGTGCCAAGAAAGCCTGTTTTGGCCATGAATGGTGCATGCCCCCGGTGACTGGTGGGGCACAGCTGAGCTGGCAGTGGCGGGAGCGTGGCGGCAACCTCAGGAGCATGGCAGCAGTGAGCAGGGGAGCTCCCGCAGACGCCACTGGCTCTGTCAGGGGTGGTGAGCACCAACCAGGGGTTGGCAACCACCCACAGGCACCACCAGCAGCGGTGGAGGTTGCCAGCGGGGATTGCTCACCGCCTGCAAACACTGCCAGTGGTGTCGGCGGCAGGGTGGCAAGCAGCAACTGCCCACAGAGGGTGCGCTGCCATGCTCAGCGGGTGCATGTGCACCTGCATGTACCCCCTACACGTTGGCCCTGGCTTAGGCCATGCCAATGGAACAATTCTGCCATTTCAGATCCTCATTAGGGTACCATCCAGCCAACAAACATTGAAACTAGAGTCAGCTGTAGTCACTCACAGTGGAAAACAGGGTCATAGAATCATAGAATCACAGAAAACTAGGGTTGGAAGGGAACGCAGGAGGTCATCTAGTCCAACCGCCTGCTCATAGCAGGACCATCCCCAGTTAGATCATCCCAGCCAAAGCTTTATCTAACCAAGTCTTAAAAACCTCCAAAGACGGAGACTCCACCACCTCCCTAGGTAACCCAGTGCTTCACCACCCTCCTAGTGAGAACGTGTTTCCTAATATCCAAGCTAAACCTCTCTTGCTGCAACTTGAGACCATTGCTTCTTACTCTGTCGTTTGCCTCCACTGAGAACAAGGTAGCTGAAGGTCGCCTCAGTGCAGAGAGGCACGTGCAAGTGAGAAGGAAGACTTCTACATCAGCAAGGAGCACAGAGTGGGGAAAAGTACCCCAATCACCACCCACAGACCAGAAAGCACTCTGAGATGTGAAGGGCTGGATGACCCTGGTGATGCTAAATAAGTGCCCTGAGCCCTCCGCATAAAGAGCCTGGGCTGCCTTCCCCTAGATCCACCGGGGTGGAAGGGCTGGCGGGCTGTGGACGAGGACGGGAAGGCAGTGCATGCTCCAGGATGCCTGGAAAGGGCTCTGGATGCGGGGGGAGGCCGGCTTTGGTCCTCCCGGAGAGAGCATCTGCCCAGCAGAACAGGACCAGGAGCCAGGACGCGAGCGCTGCGGGGGCCGGGCACAGCGGGGGATGCTCAGGGCTGAAACCCAACGCAAGCCGGGACGACCCCGGCGATGTGTTCCCGGAGCAGGCGGGCCTGGAGCCGGGGTTTCGGAGGGACAGGGGGAGCTTGCCCCTCCGAGGGGGCCCGGAGCCCTTGAGGCATTAAAAACATATTAGCATTCTAAATTATAGAATGATTCTGTAATTGGCCAGAATGAGAGTTGCTGTTCTGACCTTCTGAGGATTTATTTTGACAGAGAAGAAAAAAGAGAGACTATACACCGGTATATACGCGTATGAGTACTGTATATATGCACCAGAGTATATACTGGCTATCAGAACATACTAGATAACACTGCTAAAGCAACTAACCATGCTAGGAATCTGTTAAAGTACTTTTAAACAATAGAACATTCTTTCAGAGTAAAAGTCATGGGCTCACAATGGGAAACCTATTTATAGATAAGTGATTATAATATGGTCATGAAACAGTCATAATATGTGGAGAACAAAAAGTTATGCATTTCTGAACATGGTTCCCCTGATTTACCTGTGGTAGGTTAGGTCTATGGTGGGGCAGGGTTTATGCATTTCTGAACATGGTTCCCCTGATTTACCTGTGGTAGGTTAGGTCTATGTTGGGTCAGGATTTATGGTAGTCTCATGTAGAATTTAGATTATGTATGGTTTGTATGGGATGGTTTAGATAGGGATGATCCCTGCCTCAGGTTGGACTAGGTGACCTCTGGAAGTCACTTCCAGCCCTACTTCTGTATGCTTCTGTGAGTTAGTCTCTGAGGTGCTACCCTGCCTTCTGCCTGGTGATGGGGAGGGAGAGAATGATTCTGCATTATGCAATACAAAATATCTTTCATCACTTGTTCAGAATCCTTGACACAGACCTTGGAGTAGCAGGCAATAAATAAGACCCTAGAACAGTGGATCCCAAACTGTGGTATGGGTATTACGAGTGGTACACAGACAACCTGTCAGTGGTACTCATTAACAGATTTTTTTTTAATTACTTTATATGACAAACTTTGCTGGTAGTACTTATGGCTGAACTGAAACATTTGCTGGTGGTACTTAAGGTTGTATCATTTTAAATTGGTGATGCATGATCTGTCAGAGTTTGGCAACCGCTGCCCTAGAAGTAAAATAACTTTTTATACACAAGTGTATGGCAAGCCAGGTGCCAAGAAAGCCTGTTTTGGCCATGAATGGTGCATGCCCCCGGTGACTGGTGGGGCACAGCTGAGCTGGCAGTGGCGGGAGCGTGGCGGCAACCTCAGGAGCATGGCAGCAGTGAGCAGGGGAGCTCCCGCAGACGCCACTGGCTCTGTCAGGGGTGGTGAGCACCAACCAGGGGTTGGCAACCACCCACAGGCACCACCAGCAGCGGTGGAGGTTGCCAGCGGGGATTGCTCACCGCCTGCAAACACTGCCAGTGGTGTCGGCGGCAGGGGGGCAAGCAGCAACTGCCCACAGAGGGTGCGCTGCCATGCTCAGCGGGTGCATGTGCACCTGCATGTACCCCCTACACGTTGGCCCTGGCTTAGGCCATGCCAATGGAACAATTCTGCCATTTCAGATCCTCATTAGGGTACCATCCAGCCAACAAACATTGAAACTAGAGTCAGCTGTAGTCACTCACAGTGGAAAACAGGGTCATAGAATCATAGAATCACAGAAAACTAGGGTTGGAAGGGAACGCAGGAGGTCATCTAGCCCACCCGCCTGCTCATAGCAGGACCATCCCCAGTTAGATCATCCCAGCCAAAGCTTTATCTAACCAAGTCTTAAAAACCTCCAAAGACGGAGACTCCACCACCTCCCTAGGTAACCCAGTGCTTCACCACCCTCCTAGTGAGAACGTGTTTCCTAATATCCAAGCTAAACCTCTCTTGCTGCAACTTGAGACCATTGCTTCTTACTCTGTCGTTTGCCTCCACTGAGAACAAGGTAGCTGAAGGTCGCCTCAGTGCAGAGAGGCACGTGCAAGTGAGAAGGAAGACTTCTACATCAGCAAGGAGCACAGAGTGGGGAAAAGTACCCCAATCACCACCCACAGACCAGAAAGCACTCTGAGATGTGAAGGGCTGGATGACCCTGGTGATGCTAAATAAGTGCCCTGAGCCCTCCGCATAAAGAGCCTGGGCTGCCTTCCCCTAGATCCACCGGGGTGGAAGGGCTGGCGGGCTGTGGACGAGGACGGGAAGGCAGTGCATGCTCCAGGATGCCTGGAAAGGGCTCTGGATGCGGGGGGAGGCCGGCTTTGGTCCTCCCGGAGAGAGCATCTGCCCAGCAGAACAGGACCAGGAGCCAGGACGCGAGCGCTGCGGGGGCCGGGCACAGCGGGGGATGCTCAGGGCTGAAACCCAACGCAAGCCGGGACGACCCCGGCGATGTGTTCCCGGAGCAGGCGGGCCTGGAGCCGGGGTTTCGGAGGGACAGGGGGAGCTGGCCCCTCCGAGGGGGCTCGGGGGCAGGAGCCATGCTCTCTATGCCGCACGCCCTTCTGGGGCTGCAGGAGGGATGCCAAACCCACAGCCCCAGGGATCTCCGGCTCCCAGCACGTCGGCTCCCGATCATCTGCGTCCCAGAGCATTTTACTATGCAGAACATCTGTCGGGAGTGTTTGCTCGCCAGGGGGGAAGAGTCACCGCTAAAGAGCAGCTCCCGAGCACTGCCCCCGAGCACTGTCCGCCCTAAAGCTTGCCCCTCGAGACCTTGGCGTTACAAGCCTCCAGCACCCTCCCCTGGCCGTGC